AATATATAATTTATATAATTTTTTAATATACAAATTACAAGATTAAATGGATTAAAAAATGTATTGGATGGCGTGTAAAAATGAGAGTGGACAAATACTCTGGAACGGAGGGAGTAATTTTTATTTCTTTACCAATATGTAAATAAAATGAATTGAAAAAACTTGATATTTTGCCTCGGTAAGAGAAATGTGGCAAATAATTTGGGACGGAGGGAGTAATTAGATTCTTTCAAGTGCGTTTTTAAATTCATTTCGTTGAAAACTAATTTAAATTTGGTAATATAAATATACCCGTGCAACGCACGGCTGTGATACTAGTAAACTACTCCCTTCGTTCCATAAAACTCTCTCTTTCATTTTTTTCCAATTCCCTAAAACACTTCTACTTTCTATTAAAAACCACTTTTACCCCTATTTTTTCATACTCTATCTATTACGGAGTACATCATACTTTTTACTAATAACCAAACTATCACATCTTACTTTTACTCATAACATCAGAGGCAAATTTAGAAAATCAACCAAAATTACATTTTCCTAATTTTGGCACAAAGTCAAAATATATAGGAAGTGTTAAAAAGAACAGATGGAGTTTTAAAATAAAAACGGTCACTTGAAATGGAAATATAATACAGAGTATCTCATAATAAAATTTGAAAGTTGAGAGAATCCATATTTATATTCCCTACTATATAGGGGAAGGTTTACATGACATTGGGAAACAATGTTATGGGATGACCCAAGAACGCTTCGGCGCCCCATTCGTAAAATTGACGGTTCCTACTTCTTCTAACCCCCGATAAACCCTCCCACCTTGTCCCGACCTAAACGCACTTCATCACCCTCTTCAATTGCATCATATAAGTAGATTTTGAGTTTGGATTTGAAATTATAAATTTGTAAAAATACATTAAACATAGATCATTTATATTTGACCTTTAAATAATATGTCAAATTTAAATCAAGATCCACATCATAGAATCGAAAAAAATTCCGTCCGAACCCGTGCATGGCACGGGTAGAAATACTAGTTCGTATAAAAGTCAAGAATCGGAGAAATAATTAGAAAGGGAAGTAATCTGTTCGTATAATGGAATATTCAAAAAATATAGATACCGAGATTGAGGAAACAAATAATACTCCCTCCGTCCCAAAAAGATCGTTACGTTTCATTTCTTTGCGCATCTCTTAAAATATTTTTATATCATCTCAAATGCCAAAAAAACTTTCAAAACAATTTCATCTTATAATAAAGAGTAAATATGGTAAATTTTAGAAATTTTAGATGTGAGTAGCATTGCTTTTTGTGATGCGCAAAGAAATGAAACGTAACGATCTTTTTGGGACGGAGAGAGTATTAGATAAATGGATGAAGGAGCATGCTACATGTACACTAAAATTTATACACTAATTGTACATCAAAGATATACACCAACATTTTAATATTTCACAATGATACAAAGTTTTGGTGCGTTAATGTGAAAACCCGGTCCTCAATGAAGGGAGGCAGGCCCGGCCGATCAGAAGGGAGATCAATTGTATTGAGTTATAGAAGGATATATTCCGTAATTATGGAAACTATATATGAAATTGTGATTAGGAAGTACTCGGGTAATTATTAATTGGCTAAAATTATTATTTCGTTAAGGAAAGAAATAAATGCTCAGTATAATATACGGAGTAATATGGATTGAATTGTGAATCTCTATAATAAATACACCCGTATGGGATGAGATTAGAGTATATTCACTTTCCATACAAAACCATAACTTTTCCTTCCATAACGGGATTTGCAAATACTACGGCGACTTGCGTGCATATATATATAATGCTTGCGAGTATTGATTCGATGCTCACAACCTCCGACTCAATTTAGAAGAGGACGATGACGATGACCATGTTTTCCTCCTCAAAATCTTCCTCCCCACTCATTGCCTTTTCTCTTATCATCATTTGTTATTTTACACTGTCATTGCATTTACAGACGGCAAGTGCGGAGCCTCTTTTCTTCCCTAAAAAAGTGGTACGGATTAACAATACGATTCCGACCTACAATCCGATCCAGCCTCCCCAACCACTGCTCGTGAAATGTCATTCCAATTTAAATAGTCTGGCACCTTGGAAGTTGGCGGAGAATCAGGAGCGGGAGATCCGTTTCCGGGTGAGCTTGTTTGGAAAGACTATGTTTTGGTGTGATTTCTCCTGGGGCTCCAAGATACAAGGCTTTCCAGTTTTTGATGGACAAAATGATTCATGCATGAACGAGATGTACTCCAATTGGAAGGTCAAGACCGACGGATTTTATATTTGTTGCGGTGAATTCCCAGATGACAACAAATTTTCCAGAGTATTTGACTGGGAAAGTGTTTGAGAATGAATAATACTTAAAGGGTAGAGTACCAAATAATTAAGGTACTGATGAGTACCGTCTTAGTTATGGAGCACGAGTTTTAAATTCTTTTTAATGGAAAAACATATACTATATGATGAAATTATTTATATTTTATAGATCTATTGTTTGCAATTCTCGAATAGAAAAAGTGGTGTGAATCATGTTAGACGCATACAACTTACTATACAAGACAAACCATTTTTTATCAATTTTCTTCCAAAAGAGCAATTAAAACAGAATGAAATCATCTTGACATGTATTTTTTCATACGTAAAATTTTGTATTAATAAATAGTATTAAAATACGGAGTATTAGTTTTTTCTCAATGTAAAACCTAAAATTTTTTATTTCCCCCCGGAGAAAATAAAACATTTGATACGATATTAAAAAAATTATTATATAGATCAATTCACCATTTCATAATTAATGACAAAGGCATCTCATAAACAACTACAATATTTATTCAAACTGTAATACTGTAAGGAGAATTTACGTAAATAGCACGTACTAAAACATAATGATTTTTTCTAAATAGTATCACATGTGTTTTTTATCAATGTAAATGTTTAATTTGTCATTATCAATTAGTCATTATTCAATTAAATGTTCGTAATCACAGGATATTATGGACATTATTAAGTGCAATTTAGAGAATAAAACAATTTATGTATTATTTATAAAAATGATTTAAGTTTTAGTGTTATTTAGTGCAAATATTTTATACTATAAAATATAGGTACTATACGGTGTATATTCCTCAATGTTCTCAATTAAACTCAAATGGATTTATTAATTAAGATAGTCTATCATCATAAATTACATGATAATTATATGTTCGATATTACAAGTTTTAAAAATGTGAAATTTACACTAAATAGGACTAAATGTACACATTCATGTCATGCAAATGTAGTGATAATTCTATTCGCATGATCGCATGTACGTAGTTTAAGACATTAGGCTAGAATTAAGCTATGTGTACCTCAAATATTGTATCTCACATTGTATCTAAAAGACATATACTAACATTTTATGTTACTTTGCTGTTAGTGTGATGATTTAAACAGACATTAAATTGCAATACAAATGTATCCTTTCGGATATAATTTGAGGTACATTTTTTTCGATCGGTTCTTAGTGTACCCATTAACATGGTTGAAGACATTAATGTAACATATGAGTGCATGCACACTACAAGGATAAATAACATGTCCCTCCGCCCTCGAAATCTCTTACTTTTTTTTGTTAAAGTGACACTCTTTGATCATAAATTAAACGTAATCTAAATAAATAAATGTTATAAAAATTTAATATATCAAAACTATATTCTAAGATTACTCAATTATATTAAATTTATTTTTTAATTCAATATATTTTTCTCATAATTTATAATAAAGTAGTGTGTTTAACTGAAAAAGATCAAAACAAGATTAATTTTACGAAGAGAGTACATGAAACCGGGATAAATAGCCTTTTTAAAGACGAGTACATTAAAAAATTATATTTTTTGATGACATTTTATCTTCTAATAAAACTATGTTACCATGCACACTTAAAAGTCGGATGAACAATCTAAAGTTGACCTTAGAAATAAGGATAGCAGTCAACTTCTTCCTTGACTCTAGTGGTACCTAAACTCATTTGTTATCATGTCATTTTGTGACGAGATGGTACCATCATACGGAGTATATTAATCTCCTTTGTCATGCTAGTTGCACAAGGGAAATATCTAGTTCATAAACAAAATCGTCACAAATTTTACAAATTTAATATTGGTAAACTTCAACAAAAAGATTAAGTTTCCTAAAATAATTTTAAAATGAGATTTTACATATGAAATGATAATATAAGTTTGTGAAGTTTGACAAAATACATTATTTTGCTTGTAAACCTAGCATTGCTGATTGCACAATATCTAAAAGAAACTAAATCAAGTTTGATAAAAAGATACCAAGTACTTTTTAAAAAGTTACTTTTAGAAACAACAAGCCAATCCTTTATATATTCATTTGACACTCCTAACTTTAAGAATTTGACATATGCCTTTTTAGAAAACGGCAAGTGGCTTTTTAAAAATTGACACATGGGGATATTTACGTGGCTTTACTTTTTGACAAGTTCTCATTTGTTTAGGAAAGCAATCAAAGAAATAAAAAAAATAATACGTTAGAAATTTATATAATAAGGCAATCAATTACAAAATAAGTAAGTATTTAACACACACACACACACACACATATATATATATGATTAATTTCTCCATTCATGTGATTGCCTCTTTCAGATCAGACGGAAAATTTTCTGTTGTAATAATGAGGAAGATTTCATGATAATCTATATGCATGGGAATTTCTGGTAAAAACTCACCTGCTTTAGTGTATAGTATGGAGTAATTTTTTTTTGGAAAATTTATCTAAATAGTTCTAAAACATAATGACTTTCTCAATGTAGTACCATATATTTTTATTTTCCAATGTAGTACGACTGGTCATTGTCCGATGGTTATTGTTCAAGTAAATATCCGTCATTGCTGGACATTATTCAAATACTATTTTAAGTACTACATTACAAAATGACATATGTTTTAGTACTCCATACTATTTAGTACAAATTTCACTAATATTTTTTTCCCTCTCAAACGCTTGTTGAGTAATCAATCTTCAAAATCTCAAAACAAATACTCCGTATTAGGAACTTCATTCTGAAGTATAAAAATTTTGAAACTCTAAACACTAATTTGTCATAGAGTTCACAAAAATACATCCTTCCATAGTACTCCTTAGTCATTGCCTATGAATGCTTTGACAAATTCAGCACTCAATCCATCCAAAGAGTTTAGTTCTTTGGAATACCCAAAATCAGATTGAGTTCCGGTGACTCGCCCACTGGAATATGCCTCATCAAACACGATGAATTTGCAAATCCACCTTGCGAAGTTAGAAAAGATTATTGAAAAATCATGAGCTCAAAAAGGCCAACAAAAAAGTATTCATCTAAACCTTAAAATGATTCTAGGATTGCTTGTTCTTAATTATTATGTCCCTTATTATTTACATACTGGATAAATCTTATGTGTAACTAATGACCTATGATAAAGCACAATTGTTATAGAGTCAATAAATCTGACTAATTAATAACCCATACCCATCATAATTAATGTCAAGCTCAATATAGCAATTTCTAATGAAAAGATATGGAACCTATGACTATTAGGGGATCACTAAATCTAACGTAAATGACAGCGAGTACACTTTCATGAAGACATTTGGATTCATCTTTGTATGAAATCAGTTCACCGCATCAATACAGCACAAAGGAGAGAATTGTATCCATGTGCAGTTGTAGAATTGCTATGATTAAAATCAAAATCCATATAATTTGATAGTAGTAAGAGGTGTTACCCCAAGCCATGCTCTACGCAGGTAAGTGGCCTTTCAGATTGAGACAACACATTGCACGAAGGGTTTCCGAGGAATGAGAATATGAAGCAATTGTTCTCCTCATTCCTATCCAACATTACTGGAAATAAACAAAAAAATAAAAATTTATTGAACAACAAAACACATTTAAAAAAAAAAATATAAAGTATAGGATTATTAGTAAATCTTGAATTGATTGCTTCTCTATATTGAATTGGCGGGGGAAAGATGTAACTTCTTTAGAAAAGAAATGACGCTTATGAATCAAATTTTTGATGAGGAAAAAATTCAAAAATTTATAAATAAATTAAGATAGAAAGAAGAAAAGGTAATTACCCCCCTACTTGAGCCTCAAGATTCCTCTTAGTTTGTGAGAGGATACATTCTCCAATTAGGATGGCCTTGACCAAACCCCAAGTCAGAAGCTCTTTGCTCTCTGAATCGTGTTAACTCAAAATTGCCATGAATCATTCAGAAATCTAAAGTGTAAAGAAAAAACAGCTAATCTTAAATTGAAATAAACATAAAATTAGTTAGCATTGGTTAATCGAATCTATAAAAATCTAAGTCAATAAAAAAACAAAATACTCCGTAATAAAAAGAAAAATTAAAAGTAGACCTTAATATCTATGAAGAAGTCATTCAAAATCCATGATGAATTCCTGCTGACCATATTTCAAATTTGCCTTCTTGAGTGAGATCTAGGGTTACTCGAGGAAGGCACCGCCGCAAAATCAATTATTGAAAAAGGGATGATGTGAAAGTAAGAAGATATGAGATGAGAAGAGGAGTTGTCGGCTTCATCTTACCATCTTCGGCCATTTAGATTCCATCTTATGACCTTGCACTATGAAATTGCATTTTAAGATTTTCATTTTATCAAGAAAAAAAGTACCATTTTTTATATAAAACGATTTGAAAAATAACTTAAGTCAAACATCGTACACTGAAAGGAGTTTAAAAACAGATGATTTAAACTGAGACAAAAAGAGTGCATTTTTCAAGTCGTTGAAAGAAAGTGGAAGGCGTTAAAGAAAACTGGAAGAAGATGATAGAAGTAGAACGATAAATCAGGCTTCAACCTCGCTTGCAATAAGTGTGTTCTTCAACAACATTGTGAACAAATGTGTAATGTAAGCACTTTATTAGAGAGAAATAGTAAGAACAAATGTCCTCCTCAAGTCTCTAGGGAATGGGATTACTGCTAAGAGAATCATGGAGGCACAATCCTTGAAGAAAGAAAAGGGTACTCACACATTTTACTAAGATCACAAAGGCTTCATTTTTTTTGGCATGAAATCGAAGACGGTTTCCCTCAAAAGAGGAAGAAGAACAAAAAACAACATAATAGTAGTAAATGTTACAAACCTAACTTTTTCATCTCCATATTTTCTGGAGCAAACAGAAGAGCAGATATAGATAAATTACATTACCATAGCCCGCGTGCTCCATTGATGAATGAATCCCCTTGTGGAGCAAAGCTTCGTGTGGTAAAAACGAATGGAAGGGGATTTTACCATCAAACTGCTTGTATAATCACCGCCTTCTGTCTTTCTAGCTGCTCAAAGGGCTGCCAACCTCCTTCCTTTTTCCTCATTGTGTTACACTAATAGTTGAGTTGGTCCCACCGACAGTCCAATACTATTTGACTGCAACAAGGATTTTCTCCCGGATGAGGGGACCGTCTTCGTGGTCTATCAATCTGAAGTCCCACCGCATGCCACCGATTATCTTCTTCACCTTTACAAGCACGTCAACTTCGTCCCTAATGATCACCGCCCCTTCTAGCCGCATGATCCTATCCATCTCTATAAGAATGTCTTCATATTCACACCTGCGTCCAATTTTTGCATCATTAAGACCAATGTTTTAATAAATTAAACACTTTTTTACTATTTAAAACTTTTCTTAAACTTTTTGAAGTTCAACCATGAAGTTTATTTTGGAAAAGAAGGAGTATAAAACTTGTCCATAAGGATGAGCTATGAGTGCCTTAAAAAAAGAATGCTTACTTATTCTTTTATAAGCTGAAGATTCCATTAGCATGAATCAAATCATAGGTCCTCGGATAGGTGGAGAAGGCTTCACACCTGAAGATGATGAGAAAAGAATTGGCAAATTTTGCAGCACATGTAAAGGATTGGATTCTTTTAGCCATAAAGCATGCAAGGAATCAAACAGATTAAACTCAAAGATACTTTAGTTATTAAAGAGCAGAAAAGAGAGAACGGTACCAGTCATGGTAGATGCCAATCATTACATGTTCATATATAACAATAACACCCAAAGTGTTCTTCTCAGCTATTGTGGGCACAACATTCATATCCCACATCTTTGGAGATGTAAGCTTTGCACCGAAACCTCCCAATCCAGCATTCATATCCATTATGTTACGATACCTTCCGGAATCAAGGATTTTGTTGATTCTTTTATAAGCACTCGCATGTTTCTTCCACGTTTTCTTGTCTTCTCGGTATTCCTCCGCTAACACTCTGAATCAAGAACTTTGTATCTCTTGAACTGGATCTTGATAGATTCGTGGTTGCTTCCGTTGAAGGTATGGAGAGAAGTGGCGCATCGTGTTGGCCAAAGCTTTTGCTGCCTCTTCCTGAGTTTCAAACTGGACAAAGGCGAAATTCCTCCAAATCCGGACATGGTGGATTTTTCCATAATGCTCAGTCTCTCTATTCACGGAGTCTAGTCCAGTGAGGATCAAAATTGATCACAAACAGAGCTTTGGTTGGCCTCTGATTTGCCACAGCCTTGGATCTATCGCGATGTTTGTTACCACGCTCCCCCTAAAAAGGATAAACACGAAAAAAGAAGGGATCACTATCACTGAAAATAGACAAGAGTGGCCATGGCAACACAATAAAGCATTACCCTTGCCCATTCCACTAATAGCCTGTGTTTGACATACCCAAACACAACATTGTCCACATGACGAACAGCAGCTCATGCTCATCATCAAAATAGACAAAGGCAAAACCTGGTGTTAAAATAGCATCAGATCAACAAAGGGCATGTAGAGGCACCAAGGATAGTTAAAGTCTTTTTCATCAGACAATATGACTTGTAAATTAATAGATACTAAAACCAGATTTTGTAAAGTTGAATTTGATTGATCAAATTTGAAGGAATTCCAGAAATTCCTGAAATCATCAATAAGCCATTTAGAACATTGCTAAAACAACTCTACATTACTCCGTATAGTGTAAACTAAGTTTAAAATTTTAAGAACCACCAGTTCTGGATTATAATCTTGGTTAAAATCACCAATATCGAGATATAGAATAGTAGTATGAAGCTTTCTAAAATATTAAATGAAGGCAGAAGTATAAGAGAACTAAAAAGATGATAGTTCATATAATCATATTGCCTAGACTTTCAGATCAAAAGAAATTCAGGCTCATTGTGTATCCTAAAGATCCTTGATTCAAATTTAAAAGGTGACCTTCCACAAGGCAAGAAGATCTCCGTTTGAATGGGCACACATGATGGAAAATGCTTTGCACATTCTTAAGGTGACACAGATGATTTAAAGTAAGCCTTAATGTTGAAAAGAACCAAAAGAAAAAACTGCAATATAAACAATGGAAATTAGTCACGAGAATCCTGAACGCTCATTACTTCCCTAAGAATGTAAAAGATCTTCGGTCGCTGCCATCGCTAGGTTTCAGTGACGATAGCCGGTCGCTACCATCCCTAGGTTTGTCCCGTCTTGTTCAGTTGGTCTTAATCCGCCGTAATCTACTCAAACCTAATCAAATTAAATTGAACCCATATGAACCCAATTGCACCAAACCTAATCTCATTGGATCAATCCTTACCCAAACAGGTCCAAATGGACTAATTTAGACTCAATTGAGTCTCCCCAGTGGTCTGCCAAATCGGACCTACCCCGCTGCCGACTTTACGTCGGTGACCCGCCGGAAATTCCGTCGGAAATTCAACCCAAACACATTCAACATCCAATTCAACATTCAATTCATCCAATTCTACAATCAATTGCACAATTCATTCGATTATGATTCTAATCTACGAACTAACTCTAACGATAGACATGAAAACGCCTCACCTCGATTAGTGGGGAAAATGAAATCGTGAGCTGAGGGGGAGATGCAGCCGTTGTTTTCCGTTGGCTCTATGCACGGATGGACGGAGGAGGATGATCGAAGTGCTGAGGAACGTCGTAAAGTAGAGGAAGACGACTATCGACGATGAAGGAAAGGACGATGGACTCCCTCTGGTCGTTCGATCGCTAAAGCACTAAGGGAGGAGAGATGGCAGGACGTCGTTTGGGTTCAGAGAACCGAATTAGAAGGGGTGGAGAAAGGGAGTTATAAATGTCCATCAATTGGGTTTTTATTTCAAAATTGCCACTCTAAAAATGAACTGTTGGATCGCATATGAAAATGAAATTGCACCGTTAGGTCTAGGAAAAAATTTGATTGTGTTTTTATATAATAAACTAGACTCGTACCCGTGCATTGCACGGCCTAATTATAAACTATATAATTAAGGAAAATATTGATGAAGGAAAATGATAAAATTAAATAAACATAATAACATATAATCAAATAGTAAAGAAATTGTGAATACTATACATGTTCATCATGAAAGATCACTTTCATTGAATCTTTTCCTCTTGCACAACAGGAACAAAGCAGACACGAATGTCTCGTGACATAAGCATCTAAGTGGTACGATTATTGTCAATCTCTGCAAGCACATTCCACGTACTCTTTGAATGTTTTGAGACTTTTTTCGAAAGTGACCGAATTGGTGGACTCTCATGTGTCAACCTCAACCCACGCACCCACACCATCAACAACCCCCATTAATTGTTCAATCCCAAATATGAACTGAGCATCCTCTCATCCAATCTCTTCTTTGTCAGGAAAGGACAAATAACATAATCTGGAATTCAGCTTCAAACAAATTTTAATCCATGCCATCCTGTAGGAGTTTGTTTAAACTAATCTCTGAAGTAACACTAAGAAAAACGTATAGGGCATATTAAAGTAAAAAAAGATAAAGAGATCCAATCTTTAAAAGCTAAAATTAAATTTGGAAAACAAATGAAGAAATAAATCACTTTGAATGCCGACAGTTAACTCAATAAAAGAAATGTATATTTGACCGACATTTTGGTCGGATGGGAGCACTGGTCAAAAAAAGGCATACTCGCTAAAATATATTACAGAGAGTATTCGCATAGTATAATATAAGTGGAAATTTATAAATGAGTAAAAGGATCTTACAAAATTAAAATTTTCTTGGGTAGAATGAAATCTAGAAGATAACAGGACCGTGTTTCGGGTAATCGACAGAGGCAAAATCCACAAAATCATACTTGACATATCCTACAAAGACAAAATCCACAATTTCCATTGGGGAGGTGTTTTGGATATAGCCTTTCCTTGCAAAATTAGATTCGGTGAGAATGTTTCTTTCTTGATAGCAAAAATGTTAACTTATCAAAAAAAAGAACAATATTGATAACGTAACACACAAATATGAGCCAAAGTGTAGCATTTCTTACTTCAGTTTTTAACCTGAAAGGCTTGGAGTTTGTAGGCTTTGGTTTCTTGAATTTTTGCTCCTTTTTGTAGGCTTTGGTTTGTAGTCTCAAAAACAACTCCTTACTAAGATAAGTTTATAGCTGCTCAGACTTGTTATCTATAAAAAAACAATTCAAACCATTTGTTATTTGAGAAGCCTAGTTGTTAAGAAAATTAATTCAAATAAAAAAGAATTGGAGAGGAAAAGTTACGGCTATTGTATTACCTTTTCTGATCCTTCCTGAAGAGGGATGCCTTCTCTACCAACCATATTTGAGGCTTTATGAACCACCTACATAGGAGGAAACTGTAGCTTCACAGCCCATCAACTTCATTTCTCTCTTTTGCTCATCCATTGACTAAGAAAAATAACAACACCCAAAGAATAACTACATGAAAATGAAGGTCTGAAGACACATTATTCATCAATAACATAATTAAAACCAAGATTCATCAAGAACATAATTCAAACCTTCACTACAGATATGCCAATGCAGCCTTCCCAAACAGAACCTAGACTACAAACAATATAAGGCACATTCATAGTATACTTGCGGTAACTTATCAAAAAAAGAACAAATATATTGACAGTGTAACACATAAATCTGAAGCCAAACTGTAGCTTTTCTTACATATTAAGTGGAAATCTGCCAATTCGGTTTTCAGTGGAAATGACAAATATAATAGAGAATGCACGGGGAGAAACATAATTGTCAATATAAAGTGGAAATCTGCCTTTTAGAAAAACATAATTTGCCAAGTATAGCTTTTCTTACATATTAAGTGGAAATCTGCCTTTTGGAATCTGAAGCCAAAATGTAGCTTTTCTTACATAATTCGGTGGCAATCTGCCAGCTCCACCGCCCGTCTCGCCACCTGAGGCCTCCCTGTCTTGATGCAAGCTGCAGTCAGCAGCCAAAGCAGCACCTGCCAAGACCAACCGTTGTGGTAGCTCCACCTGGTGTTCTTGGGGTCACACCCAGTCACAATGCGCCACTCGTGCCCTTCAGCCCAGGGTAGCAGACCTTCATGTGCATCTCCCCGACCAGCTCGTGCCATCACGACTCAATCAGGTCCATGATTTTCGACTCCTGGTCGGGCGTAGCCAAGGAAGAGAGGATGGCGATGATTTCTTCAGAGGATCACAACTCGATCAGGTCCATGTGAGAGTTTTTTTTTGTGATAACTTTAAGGGACACATATTTGTACCTAAAATCAGCTCTTATTACTAAAGATCTTTAATAATATCAAATTCAAGAATTTAACATATTCTAAGAAAACGTATTATTTTATATGCCATACCACAATCACAGAAACCGAAAATTTGAAAGAAGCTCACAAAAAACTAATATCTCAAGCATCAAAAATAAATTTGATTACTACAAAGACTATGATCCTATGAGACTTGATAAAATGTTCATTAATAGACCTATTTGATAAGTCCTTTTATGCATTAATTACTATCTCAGGTATTGGAGTAACCTTTAGAAAGTTAAATAAGAGTACAGCTCCAGCCTCCAGGTATTGGAGTACTACGTCCAGATTCTCTAAAAATAATCGCCAAACCAATCAAAACTTGAACAAATCGCTTTAGAAGCTATTTAGCCCAAATATATAGAATTTGCAACTTATGGTTTAAATTCAACAAATATCATCTGGTATTCAATAACCAAACACAATTGCAATAGGAAATGTCAGCATAAAAACAATCATCTAAACAACAAAAGGCTACCAGTGGCTATGAAAACATTGCTTTGCAGTTGAAGTGTGGATTAGATGGTAGAGGACGCCTGCCTGCTATGCGGTTCTTTTAGATGGAAAATCAAACTAAAATTGTAATTGGAGCTGTGTACATACCTGGCCCCCAACCCCCTTCGTCCAAGCAAGATCCAATCGTTGTAGATGTGGCTACATCTTTTTGAGTCATTTCGTCGAACACACAGTGAGCATTGCTCATCCAAACCAATTCCTTGTCTTCAACTACAAAATCAGACATCTACTTGAGTAAATATGTAAAATCGAAGATAAGAAGAAGAAAAAGAAAATGAGGAAGTAGAAGACCTGCAGCTGTAGGAAACCCTAGGTCGAGGCTATTTCACGCAGCCCTCCCCTGCTATTTTTTATCAGAGATGGAGATGCTCGCTGCCGTTGTGAGGTCGTGGAAGAGAATCGGTCAGCGGATGGATAGAACCCATAATCCGGATGAACCACGCCGCGGACTCCGGCAGAAGATGAGAGCGGTGGCGCACGTCTGTGCTGAAGCACCACATCTGAGAGGATGAATGACCGCGTTGAAAGAAACCCTAGACAAAATCGCGTGCGAAATCCCAGACCAAAATCGCCAGTACTCCAAAGTCCAGACCTTCTCTCGTGCGAAATCCCAGACCAAAATCTCGCGAAGCCGTTCAAAAGCTTTCTAGGAAGATGAGTGAGTATGCCAGACATCCTGAGTGAGTATGCTCGAAGATTTTTCATACCCTCTCTATCAAACATTTTTATTTGATTTTTATTTACTTATTTTTTTTTAAATTTTTTTACCTTTTTTTAGTGGACAAGGAGGGGGTGGGGACATATGGGGTACACCTTTGGTGTACCACTAGCATTTTTCTACTATTTTATATAGCACCTTGGTTCCCAATGTTCCCAATGTCATGGGATGACCCGGAGGCGCTCCAGTGCCCCGTTCGTAAAATTGATGGTTCTTACCCCTTAACCCCCCGGTAAACCCCCTTACCCCACCCCGACCCGAACACCCCCCATCCCATTCAATTGCACCTCACAAGTCAATTTTGACTTTGGAGTCAAATTTTGACTCCAAAGTCAAAATTGACTTGTGGGATGCAATTAAAGGGGTTGGGGGTGTGTTCGGGTCGGGGCGGGGTGGGGGGTTTACCGGAGGGTTAGGGGATAGGACAAACACGACCTTAATATCATCTAATATTATTTCTTACGGAGTATAAAAGAGTAGAATCAAAATTGAGCAAACTTCCATGTCCATCCAATTTTATTTGCAATTGGCGAAATCTGACCGTCTATTGGAAAGGCTGTCCAAATTCCATGACAATTCTTTTACACTATGTTTGGTTCAAGGATTTTGGAAGAAAAAGAAAAGAGATGGTTTTTCTCTCATTTTCTTCACCAAAATGGAAGGAATTTGATTTTCCTTCCACTTAGTACATTTTGCCTCTCATTTTCTTTTCCTTCCATTTTTCTTTCTTTTTTCTTCTAACTAAACAAGAAAAATAGTTTTTCACTTCATTTTCCTTTCTTTTCCCATTCAAATTCCTTGAACCAAACATCTATCTATTATTTAAAAAGACATGAATTTGCATTGTTCTTTTCCCGCCCATTTCATGGTGTAGAAAATATGGTAATTACTAAATGGTAATTAATGGATCATTAAAATAACCGTGTATGAAAGAGTTATAAAAACCGTGTATAAAAAAGGTAACGAATGCTCAACTAAAAATGCTAATTTAATATAACCGTGTAATTAAAATGGTAATGAATGATAATATAATATAAACGTGTATAAAAAAAGGTAACGAATGAAAATTTAATTTAATTTAATTACCGTAATTGAGTAATTACTCAATTAATATTACCGTGAATATAAAATTAGTTTAATTGTGATCAACATATAACCGTGTAATTTAAAATAACCATGTATAAAAAAGGTATAAAAACCGTGTATAAAAAAGATAACGAATGCTCAACTAAAAATGGTAATTTAATATAACCGTGTAATTAAAATCGTAACGAATGTTAATTTAATATAAACGTGTGTAAAAAGGTAACGAATGGAAATTTAATTTAATTTACTTACCGTAATTGAGTAATTACTCAATTAATTAATTTTGCTCCTATATTTTTGTATATAAAAACGAATGAAATAAAATAATTTATATGAATGGTAATAATAAAGTGTAACAAAAAAGGTATTTAAAGATGTAATTACCACAATAAACTTTAGTTGTATTTGCTTAAAATTCCGGAGAAAGGAATTATATGTTACCATAAACTTTAATTGTAATTACCACAATTTCCTTTCGTTACCATAATATAATAGATTACCGTAATAAACCATAATTGTATATAATTCTAATTGCCATTACCATAAAAAACTTTAATTCTTCGTGAAAATTCTGGATAGTATAAATACGCTACCTTACCGTGCCAGAAAATTAAACGAGTGTTCAGGAAACGAGAGTTTTAGAGAGTTTTAATTAATCGATGCTTCACCTCTGTTTTTGGCCGAACATGGGAATGATTACCGCCCTAAAAAATGTTCATGAAAAATCCGGGTTGTTGATGATGAAGCTAAGAGCAATTAGAGTTTACCACGTTGCTGCTCATTCTCGAGGGCCGGAACCGTTGGATGTTGTTTTCCACGACTCACAGGTTAGTTCTACATTGTTTTATATTTTACAAATAATAGATCTTTAAACAAAAAATATAAATTTAATTATAGATTAACGTTTTATATTTGTTGTTAGGGCGATCGGATCCATGCTCAGATTAAAGATACTGCTATAAGCACATTCAAACAAGCTTTGGAAAAAAATGCGGTTTACTTAATCATGAGGGTCAAGGTTTTACGCAATTTCCAAGGCACAAAACCTACCAATCACCCTTGCATGCTCCAATTTTTGGGAAAGACCAAGATTCAAAAACTAACAGAAAATGAATTTCTTAATTTTCGATTCTACTTTAAGAGTTTTGAAGATGTACTCAAAACAAAGTTTGATGACCAAGTCTTTTTAGTTGGTAAGAGTCATTTACATTTACATAATTTAAATACTTACACATATGAAATACATTTTATGTATTATGATTATGAAATTTTTAAAATTGTATTTTTATGGATTTTCAGATATAATCGGGAAAGTAGTTAGTCGAACTGCGCTCGAAACCCATATGGTTAATAATGCCCTAGAGCAAATGATGGAAGTTACCTTGGAGAACCACAAGTAAGTGACTTTTTAATAACCAAATTCATTTTAATTAAAAAAAATATTATACTTTGAAAAAATTACTAAATAATTCATTTGCATGATACGTTATTTTATGGTTAGCTAATTACTAAACAATCGCGACACATATTATATTTAAAAATAATTATAACTTTTTTTTGTAGTGGCATTCGGTTGAATTGTACGTTATGGGGAAATCACGTCAAAGTTTTCATTCGGTTGAAAGTAACTTAATATAGGAGCTAAATTAATTTATTAAATTTATTTAATTTAGCTCCTATATTAGCTTAGAAAAAAATTAAGTTACTTATCACCTTAAATATATTGCATATTCATCTATGGTAATAGACTTATTTCATGTATTCCACAAAGAGTATTTTTAAATTATTGAATCATATATAATTTAAAGGGTATACACGGGATTTACTAATTAAATTAGTAAACAGTTAATAATTTAGGAAATAATTTTGGCTTTTATGGAAATACGTGTTCATTTTTTTGAATAATTTTAATTTAGTTTTAATACCCGAGTAATAAAAAGTAAATTTATTAATGATAAGAGTTTAAGTGAGAATTATGCTTTAATTTTATTTTCTTTCCTAAATTATTCACTATTTGCAAATTACGTTAGTTTATAAGATTAATTTTTATGAGCTATTAATAATTTAGTATTGCAGAAAGTAAATAATGGCATAATTTAAATACTTAAATTCAATTCAAGTAGTCACGAGAGACCAAAAAAGAAAAAAATACACATTTCCATTTAAATACCTAAATTAATTAGACATATTTTCTAATTTCCTAATTTATGAAAAAACTGGATTCCATTCTTATTTGGAATTAGTAATTATGTACGGATATAATTTAATAAATACCCTAATAATATTAATAGTCGATTGATTTTCTTTATTTTAAATAATTACTACACGCCAATATATATATTTAATAGTAATACAAATTTATTGATGTCTATAAAGAAGTTTTTCGAAATTTGTAAAACATTGATGTTTTTTACTTTCAAATAATATAATCTCTATATTCTATTGCATCTCATTTTTTATCATTGAAAAATGATCTGAATTTAATAACATAAAAATAACCCGTGCAACGCACGAGTGTGATACTAGTAGTGTTAGAAAATTGCTAGGGATACACTAAATATGTATCCATTTGCCCCTCGCCAGCTTCTTGTCTACACGAAAAAGGGAAGAAATTAAAAAATTAAATAAATAGAAATAAAATAAAAATATGCAAGGTGGAGAATGGGATTCTTCTTGGATCAAGTGTGAGAGAATGGAGAACTCTCCCTCCTCCAGAGTGTCGTGGATCATGAAGTGGCATTACACGGAGGACGGCACACTTGTGATTACCCAGAAATCCAAACGCTCTGGCGACTGCCTCCGTCAAATCCATGAAGAGCTACGGTCTCAGCCGTGCAATGCGAAGGGCAGATTCCTCGCGCCTGAGGGGAGAGATGACACAGAGAGAGGGGCTAACGATGCAGAGAAGCCAGACTGCAATGTCGGGCTAAGGTTTCAACCTCAATATATCCTATGAGGGTAATAGCCTATTTTTTTTCGATTTTACATAATTCTTTGATTTGAGGGCTTATTTTAAAAATACAGAGTAAAAAATTATGCTTTGTGGAATTTTCGGTATTGTTTAATTTAGGAAAATTCCGTTCCTTGATTCTTGGTCGGATAGATGAAATGGTTAAATGTTCTTGGAAGACAATCAAAGCTATCAATGAAATAGGATAAGCCAAGATTTTCTATAGAATTGCATCATTTCGTCCTATTTTGTTTCGTTGATGGTACATCACTTTTTAATCAAGATCTATCTGTTATTATATACTCTGTATATAAAAGTAAAATCAAAATTGAGTTCTAGATCTTTGATTTGGCAGCACACTAACAGGAACTGGGAAGAAACTGGCAGGTGAAGGTGACTTGGGCTATGAACTTCAGCTCTGGACGGCATCGTTGGACAACAACGAAGGATGAACAGTCAGCAAAGGTCGTACACAAGGTTGGTGTATGTGTCAAGCTTCGCTTTTGTTTATCTTATGGCAGTAGATTGTTAAATTAATTCATCTCAAGAACATTTTTTAAATCTCAATTTGAAAAATATAGAGTTGTGTTTTAATTTTGAATTTACAAATCATTCCCATTTCACAATCATTTGCTCATGTTATGATTCTAAAGTCCTTGATTTAAATATCTGATTCCTTTTAATATTATGGTTTGTTGGTGTATGTACATTATGTTTGGTTTAAGGAATTTGAGAAGGAAAAGAAAAGAAAATGGAATGGAAAATGGAAAAGAAAGGAAAAATGAAAGGAAAATAAAATGGGAGAAGAAATGAACTAAGAAGATGAACAACAACATTCCTTCCATTTTAGTGGGTAAAAGGAGAGAAAACAAGTTTCTTTTCTTTTCCTTTGATTTCCACGAACCAAACATTGCGTTAAAGACGTTATTAATGAATATCATTACAAGGGCTTTAGTATCTCATTATGATAACTGCAGGATCGAAAGTGGTTAAAGTACATACATTGTTTGATTTTCAAGTTGGTGCACTCTATTATGTGGGGATGGCAGGTCACTTTGATCTTGGTAACACCAATACCGTTGCCACCATTGATGTTGCCCGTGTTGAAACACGGGTTTATCGCTTTTTCGTACTAAAACCGTGTTTGTTTTTATGACAGGTTTTGATAATGCCAAACTGCCGTGAACGAGACAAATTGTTGAATATACAAGGCGAGAAATAAATATAAGAAGAAAGCAAGAGAACAAGAGCTAAAAGAGACCGAGAACGAAGACCGTAGTCTTTAGCGTCGTTGAGTCGGTCACAATGTGATCAAGACCGACCCAAGCTTTGCACTTTGGCTCTTTAGGCTAAAACATTTTTTATTGCATGTTACATATCATCAAAATTATTTTCAAACATGCTCAAACATATTAAAAACACTTGGTGTTCGCCCAAACCAAAAACCAAGCCATCCGGGGTTCGGCTTTCGGAAACCGGCGCTCGGCTTTCAGAAACCGGCGTTCGGCATTCGGTTATCGGCGTTAGTTTTTGGCGTCCAAACAAACCAAGTGGTTTTCAACTTTTTATGATTGGTTTTTACTTCTGGGCACATTTAAATAGTTTTCCATCAAAAACATTTCAAAAACCACCTTTCGTTTTTTGTCGTTTGATAAAAACCATGCGAAACGGCATAAACTTGGCTAGCCGTGGTTTTTACTTAAATGAAGTGGTTTTCGAGTCTTTTTGTGTGGGAATTGTTTTTGAATGCATTTAAATGGTTCTCCAATCAAAACATCATGAAAACCATCTTTCGGTTTTGTCTTTTGGTAAAAACCACCTGTGTACGGCGTTGACTTGGTCAACCGTGGTTTTTACCTTAACGACGTGGTTTTCAACATACAAAGCTTATTTTGACATCAAAATACATTAAATAAGTGTTTTAAACACTTAGTTTTTACTTTGGAGAACTTTGCATTTTTCGGTCGGGTTTCAGTGCCGGCCGGCTAAGCCATGGTTCTGGACAAGCCATCTACCCGGGATTCCAGAATCATTTCACCCAGCGATGGGAGATATTACCCATCGATGGGTAAGCAGCCTTCAGCCCAATTGAATTCCAGAACCATGCCAAACAGCGATGGGAAGTTCTACCCATCGCTGTTCAAGCCTTGGTCCAACATTATCACAAGGCAGAATGCCCTTACCCAGCGATGGGAAGCTTTACCTATCGATGGGAACCCAGCGATGGGAAGGCTTAACCATCGATGGGAAGGCATGACCGTTGGAAGTCATTTAAGGCTGATTCTTTCCTTGTTTGGAAGTCAACTTCCCACCCAGCGATGAGAAGCTTGTACCCATCGATGGGTAGGTGACCGTTGGCTTCAAAACTGAAGGGAAATTGGCTTACCAGCGATGGGTGATTCCAAACATCGATGGGAAGCCAATATCCTGCAGATCCCAAATTTATTCAATCCCATAAATCAAGCCAATCACCCCTTTAATGTATTGGTCCGTTGGAGCCTATTTTGGCACTATAAAAAGGGGTGTTTGGGT